TGTAGACTAACTTGCTGTTTTTAGCAAGAAATTTTGGGTTTCACATTCATTTCTAAATGCATTGAGTAGCTCCATACATTTCATAACATAATCTTTTTATTTGTATGCAAAAACAAAAAAGAGTAATACTGTAATTATAAAAGAAGCATTTTGTAACAAAGGAACCTGTTGGAGCTATTTGGTGCTAGAATGTTACTGTCTTTTTACTTTTGCTAAGCCTTATTTAAATTTTGTATACTGTGGAACATGTAGACTTGGATCATTTTAGTGTGGAGATTATTAGTTATTTTGAAGGACAAAAGGTAAAACATAAAACGTACAGGAGCACTACAAAATATCCTTGCAGATGTGTGTTTTTAGATGACTGGGATCAACAGAATGGTGGTTTTGCTTATTTCTGTTTTATGTAGCTAAACTAGGCCTAGGCCCATACCTGTTTCATTGGGGCTTATGGATTGTCTTTTCTGTCTCAAAAGCTAGAAATTTGTTCTTAAAAGCACAGTATAATCTTGATTTGGAGGTTTGATTGACAACTGATAGTATTCAGAATTAACTTCCCTCTGGGAAAAGCTTTATTACGCTAATTAGTTGAGTTGGATTACAGCAGACACGCCTTGGAAAGAAAATCGTAAACAACTTCTGATTTTTCATGTGACACTAGAACATTCATACTGCCTTTGATGCATTCACAGAGGAGCTAGTGAGTGATGGGTAATATTTTTGATCAGTTTTGAAGAGAAAATGGTCTCAACATTTACAGTTTATCTGTGCTTTGGCAGTTACTACAAATGAATGCTAATGCACTTCGATATAACATTTCTGTCTGGGAGGTATTTCCTAGTTTACAGTCTTCTGCATTTTTTTTTTTTTTAACTCCCCTCTTGTTTCCTTTAAAGCACATCTAGCTATTTGTTTACAGTATACCTTTATGTATATTTTGTATAGTTCACTATCACTTCTGACAAATAAGTTTTTTGCATTTTGGAAGTATAACGGTGCGTAAGCTTGTGTTTATGTAGTATCTGTTTGTTTGTTGGGTGCTTACCTTATCAGTGAGCTGTTAGAGATCCTCCTACCTGTGTGCTACTTGGTCAGTCTTTCTGTGATTGTAGATTTGATGTGTTCCTTTGTAGCTTACTGCTGTAGATTGCTCAGCTTACCAAAAAAATAAAAAAAAAAAAAGAAAAAAAAAAGAGAGAGAGAGAGACAAAAAAAAAAAAAAAAGGAAAAAAAAAGTTAGGGTCTGTGCAATAAAGTGTTTGCAGTCTTATTTTCTCTAAGAAACTCCTTATGGATGTCATAATTGTTGCATATTGAACACAATTATTTATACTTATGCAGTTGCATAACATTGAAATAAAAATTCAGCATGAAACACTGTTGTGTATTTTCCATTGATTGCTTTCGCTCCCGTAACTTCAGGCACATCCCTGCTGTACTCAGAGGTGGGCAGTTATTTTCTTCCCTCAGACCAACCCAGTGCACCCCTTCAGGCACGTGCTGGCCAAGGATTTTGCATGAGAATCATTGTCTGGTCTAGAGAGGGAGGAGGTCTGGAGAGCCAAGTATCTTGTCTCAGGCAGTGGCTGGCATCACGGCACTGCTGCTCAGTAGGTAGGGGCATGGGTGGACAACGTACCTGGCTGCTGGTAACAACTGCAGTAACCTGAAACGTGAGACTTCAATCCCTCCTCCACGCCGTACATCATCGTTCATTAAAATAAGTTATAGTGTTTTTCAATACCTTCTCAAAACACACCAAATCTTCATTTATTTTTTTTTTATTCATGCTAAATTCTCCACCTTAACAAATTCATGAAGCATGAGTGTTAAGCGCAACATTTCTTCAGTTTTGAAATCTCTACCCTTGAATGTATTCAAATCTCCCTTTACTATTTTTTTTCCCACATAATAAAGAAGATGCACTGAGCCAGGCAGAGGAGGTGGAGCAGAGCCCCTCAGTGCCCAATGGCCTCTTTGATGGAGACCAATCCTGTCAGGAGGAGCAGTGGGCAGGACTATTGGTCCCCTAATTTTTGTCTTTCTGTCTTGTAGAGGAGCACATCCACACGTCCTTTTCTTCTGCCAGTGGCTGATAAAGGAGCTTTGCACGCCTGGTTGACATGTGCCAGGTGATTGTTGTTCATGTTTTACTGCTGTGTTTTTCCCTGTGCTTTTCACCTCTGCAAAACGAAGTGCATCAGCCTTACAGAATCACTTCTGTTGTGCTCTCTGACCGAAACCAGTGAGTTACCCCCAGTCTTTCTGACTTGCTGAAACCCAGCAGAAGACAGATGCTCTGCAAAATTGGTGCAGTGGCAGGGGATGTGCACGAATATGGGAGGGGAGAGGGGGATGCAGCAGCTTGGGGAAAGGAAATGACCAGAGATGAGAACTGACTGTATGACTGCCTTGCCTGCTGTGCTGTCTCTGACTGCAGTAGCCATCCCTCTGTGAGAAACTGTGGAAAGCTGCACGTCCACAAACCCCCACAGCACTCAGGGCCAGCAGAAATGGGTGGTGTAGGGGGGTTTGTGTTGAGGAAGAAGCAGTCAGGAGAGAAATGTTGACCATCAGATTTGGTATGGCCTGTCATCCTCACTTCTGCCTTTGTAAAAAGAGCCTGCATCTCACCTGGGTTGGGAATCCTTTTCATGGTTCGAAAGAGAAATGTGGGCTTCCCTCTTTAAGAACTGCCAGCTTGCAAGGTTCCTTCAGGTTCTGTATTTTCTCCTGAGGTTGGTAAGAATTAGCAGGGATGTCATGTTTGTATTCAGACAGTGCTTAGCAGACCAAAGAATAAATAGCAGGACTGGAAGATACGAAAGGGTGTTTGGGTGTCCCAGTTCATGGCTTGCGTGTCATCAGTTGTCCTTCCAGTGACCATATCTTTACCTGTAAGCTTTGTGTCATACCATGGTGTCAGTGATATCTGTATCCCAGGAGTGAGCTGGGTTCTGTTGAGCACCATTCAGCTCAGGCAATTCCCTTGTCCCTGCTCACTGACTCCTTGGCTGCACTTGAAACATAAAAGTCCTGACAAGATACCAAGGAGCGCATTAGATCGGAGCTTGATTGGGTAAACAAATTCTACAAGGAAAAGTAAATCTACTGTCACTTTCCATATACATCTTTGCTAAGTAATACTGGACTAAATCTTTGGACTTCAAATATATATATATATATATATATATATTTATATATATAAAATCTGGACATTTGGGGATATTATGTAAAACGTTCCTTCAGAATAACCACCCCCTGCATTCAGGATTTTTGTGTATACTCCATACACTATATATGTGGCTCAGCACTGTTGTTTACAGTGTCCTAATGACTGGTGTTTTACAGGACAATGAAAGAAGAGAGCCTGCCCCGTGTATGTGACACTAATGCAAATCACAGAGGAAACAAAAATGGCATCAGATGCAGGTAAAACGAGTTGTGTGGAAGGAAGGGGAAGCATTGCAGAAAGGTCTGTACTTAATATGCCTTGCTCAAATGTATCTTGCACGTGAACACGTTCACAATTTTGCCTTTTCAGACAGCTTCAGCTTTTAACTGGCTGAAGTCCATGCGCAAATCTACCCTGTGATGCTGGGTAGCGTTTCAGAAACTGGTGATGCTTAAATCCAAATGAATTGCCAAAATCCAAATGAAGCAGCGTATCAGTGAGTACCAGCACAACATGCAGCATTCCCTTCAAGTCGCTGATGTTTACAGATCTCCTGATCTTTGCAGCATTTTTTTTTTAAGCACTTGAAGCTGTGAACTGTGCTGTGCTCTTTTTGCTTAGCCATTTATCTATTGCTTTCCTGGACCCACAAGCTGGTGAGAGAAATAACTGAGGCTGTAGGTCAGGTTTCCCTTGAGGGGCACCCACACCAACATTCATCGGACAATGCAGTTATTGACATTGACTTGTTTAGCCAGTTGTGTTTGCAGAGGGAGGGAGCCTTGAATCCTGAGCTGCCTGGTTCCCGAGGACAGGTCGAGTTGTCCTCTGGCTGCCTGGCTGCCTTGGTGACATCTCAGATCCGTCATTAAGGAGCTGCTTGCTGATGCGGGCACCGAGGGCAGCTTTGATGCTGCACAGCGTGTGGGTTCAAACACAGCACCTGCCTGCGGGGTCAGGAGCAGGTCTCTGAGAGCCTCTCAGCAGCAGCAGAGGAGCAGGGGGTGCTTGTAAGCAGCACGGAGAGCTTCAGGGAGAGGCACCCTGGTGCCCAGAACCTGGAACATTCTATAGGCAGATAAAAACAAGAAGATTTCAGGGAAATTTCTTTGGGCCAGAAGCTGAAACTGAGTTTTTGTATTCCTGGGTGGAAATTGCTCAAAGAGAGCTTGGAAAATGTTCAAGGAGTGACCATGACTTCTGGTTGCATGCAGCCAGGAGCCTTGCTGTGGGCAGAGCAAGACCCCGCATGCTGCTGGGTCTTCTGTGGAGGCAGAGGGGCCGTACCCGGCCCTGCAAGGTTGTGCCTGTGCAACGGGGTCAGCCTGTTGGCAAAGCCCTCGTGCCAAAAGTCACTTTATGGGAAAGGGGCACACAGCAAGCTCCATCACTTGGCCAAATGCACGTACTCTTTTAATCAGAATTTAATGAGAAGTGTGATAGAGGCTATTGTGGTCTGCCCTGCAGGAGTTGGTCTTATGTGACCATATGAGCATTGCTCCAGTCCTTCACAGGAAGTTTTGATTCCCCTCCCCCCCTCCTTTTTCCTTTTAACTGAGCAGCATACATTAGTGCCAGCTCTCCAACTAAGCTGTTTCTCAAGTGTAATTGATTGAGAGTGAGAGGGTGAGAGTTTATTGTTGTGTTTGGGATGCTGTGTTTTTTTTTTTTATTTTTTTTAAGGAACAAATCTTGTGTTTCATTTCTTGGATCTTCCCTCTATAGGTGCCTTAGCCCTAGTGGCTGTAAAGGCAGTCCTAGCATAGAGATGAACTGGGGCATCTCCTTAGAAGTTATTCATGTTCAAAACACAGGTCACACTTTATTTTCCAAGATCATATAAAAGATTTTATTATTTTTCTTAAAATGATAATAAAAATTGAAAAGGCATTATTAAAGTTAAGTGAAATACAGGCTACATGCAAAAAAGGTAAATTGTCTTTCATCCTAATCCGGTTACTGTACGTCTCTTCACACTAAGCGCCCATCATAAACTTAGATTTGCTGATAATTTTGCTTGAAATAGTGAATGCACCAAATGGAGATGGCACCACAGGATAAAACCGCCAGGACGACTGCAACAATTCCTGCAGTGCTGATCCCACAGGAGAGCGAGACAGTGGCCAGTGGAACCCCAGCCAGAGATTTGGGTTCAGAGCATGTCGTTCCCTCAGGGTCTTCGATTTTATCTGGGTTCTGCCTGCACCAGGTGATTAAACCAATGTTGGAGCAGGTGCATTCCAGGGGGTTGTAACTTAAATTGATTACGCTGCGGGCAGGTAGGGACTCTAGCTGGTCACGGGGTACAGTACGGATCCTATTGTAGGCAAAATTGAGGTAGATGCTCTGGAGTTTTGAAAATACGTCTGTGCTGAATGCAGTAAGTTTGTTGTGGCTCAGATCAACGCGCTGTAGCTTCCTGAGGCTGTGAAATGCTTGGTTGTCCAATGCTGTCAGTTCACAGGATGACAAAATTAGCACCTCTAATTTGGATAACTGTTCAAACAGTTTGTTCTTTGGCACTATTCCTGACTCAAAGGTATTTTGACTAAGGTCCAAGAGCACGAGGTTTTCCAGGCCTTGAAAGAGATGTTGAATGCTGGTATTAATGGAAGATGAGGAAAGATTCAGGACCTTCAAGAGATGTAAATTTTGGAAGGGACCCTGTGAAGTGTCAACGTGAAGATGAGTGAAAGCTATGTCCAGCAGCTCCAGACTACTGCCTTCCTCAAAGAGCACATCTCGGAGGTGGAGCTTTGTGTTGTGGCTCAGATTCAGGTGCCGAAGACTTTTCAAGCCATTTAGTGCTTTGCTACAGCAGTCAGGGCTTTCAATGTGACTGTGACTTAAATCGAGGTGCTGAAGCTCTGCCAGTTTCTCCAGGCAGCCAGAGCCCATCTGCAGTGTCTCCGAGTTTCCCTTGACATGGAGGTGGGTGAGAGAGGGGAAGGCTGCAGAGCTGATGTTGCAGAGGTGCTCGAAGGAGTTGGCGTTGAGAACTAACTCCCTTAGTGAGTTCATACCACTGATGCCAGGGGGCAAGGAGCTGATGTGGGTGTGAGTTAGGTCCAGCTTTCGGAGCTTGGTCAAGCAGTGAAATGTGTCAGGGTTTAGGTTTCTGAAGTGCCGTAGTTGCAAATAGAGATCCTTGACAGATATGTTACAGAGGCCTTGCAAAACATCTGGGGTTATGCTGGGTTCCTTCCCCACACCTTGAAATGTTCCCAACCAAAGGGTCTGAACAACAGAGTTCTGTATCCCTGCAAGGACCCCAGGGATGTCAGTGCAGCCCCCAAAGTCCAAGGTGTAGAAGTGGGACTGGAAAGCTCCAGGTTCAATGTGTAAAATGTCATTTCCTTTAAAGATGAGAGTTATGTTACTGGTCTTCTGAAGAACGCTGACATCTTCTGCTGTGATCACCCTTATGTGGTTCATTTGAAAGTCAAGGTATTTGAGGTTTTGAGTTGGAAAGTTGAGAGGGAGCTGCAATGAAGAAATGTGGTTGCTGCCCAAGAGGAGGGTATCCAAGCTGTCCAGATTTGTCATCGGGATAAAGGACATTGTGGTTATTCCCGTCTCTGTTAAGACAAGCTGCTTCAGGGACTGAGGGCCAACAAATGCTGTGTCGGACAAGAACATGAGCAGGTTTCCGGTCAGCACAATGGTCTGCAGGCACTTGTTGTTGTGAAAGGCACCTTCGTACACCCAGTTGATCTGACATCTTGAGAGAGCAATAGAAACCAGCATTAGTGACCTGTCCTGCAAAACTGTCACCAAATACCCGATACCCCAAACTGCACATTATGTATGTAAAAATCACGATCATTTGCCTTCAATGGGATAAAAGTGTCCATCTTTTCCAATGATGCTTGCCCAGTATTTGTAAGCTCATGTTTAAATACAGAATTCTAGGGAGGAAGCTGTACAATAGCAGAAAAACCTTTCCTGAAATGATGGGTGTGGGAAGGCTTTGTGGATGTCAGGGATACATTATTTTTTAGTGTCATTAACTTAATAAAATGAATTTTCCTGTAGAAAAATTCAAGCATTTACAAGGCCCAAACGTATCTTTCCAGAGGTTTTAGTGAACAATATCGAAAAGGGCATAAAAAGTTGCTCTAGTGACTTTGTTGGTCTTAGCAATAGTGATATGTAGAAAATACACATTTCATCCATCACCCTGCAAATGACTGCCACTGGAGGAGAAGCCTAGACATTGCTCAAGCACATCAGTCTTTGCTTAGTAAAATACTTCAGCAATGCTGCTGGTGGCTTCTCTGCAAAGGCAGCGAGATGCTGCTCTGGTGTGTATCAGGAGCATCCAGCTCTGGACAAGGGCTGGTGGTGACCAAGGCGACGTGCAGAAGGATGATCTCCCCTACCTTGTCAAGTCCAAGTAGAGAAGAGACTTCAGCCCAGAGAAGGTTGAGCTCTGGAGGGAAGGGAGCACATTGAAGCTGAAGTCGAGGATTTCTGTTGTGACAGGCAGCGTTCCAGGAATCTCCCTCAGTCCTAAACCTTCACAGCTGTAGCTTTTATTCACTGTAATCTGTGGAAAACATACAGTGAAACTCAAAGGGGTATGTGTTGCGAATATAGATAGGAAACCACCACACTTTAAAAAACAAACAGAATTTTGAATTATTTAAAAATGTAGCGGCCAGAACCCTATGAAACACCAGCTCAGGCTTGACATACACAGCCCCTTGGGCTTTGTGAAGTCTGATTTTAAAACAAACACCTTGAATCTTGTGCTAATTTGAAGTGTGTCTCATCTGGAGTACTTTCTTATCCAAGTTAGCACATTCGAGGATTGTTTACCATTCTGGATAAATTATTAATCCCTTAGATGAAATTCCCACAAGGTAGTTTTAAATTATGAATTTCATGAGTCTTGTAACAAAGATTACTCTTGGAGAAGTCTTAGCAAAAATCTTGCAGTGACGAGGTAAAAAAGAGCAGGCCCGGGAATGTTTCTAGGAGGAACACATCCAAATTAATTGGATCCCAACTGCAGTTATGCTCTGCGGTGAGGGAATGGCAAGAATGCGTAGCTGCTGATAGACAGAGATTTTATCTGATACACAAGGCCTTTAAAATTTCTATCAGGGCTTTTCAGTTTAAGTAAAAATGGACCGATCTGCATGCAGTCCGCCCTGTAAATACCAGGGAAGGCTCATTGAACATGCCTGACGTGCCTTTGCCTGCTGATGGCCCAGCAGCCAGATGGAGCCTGGGCCTGTTGCAGAGCCTGGGCCTGTTGTGGGACCATGGCCTCATCCTGCAGCCCCCACTGCCTTCCTTGGGAGGTGGCCACCCTGCACTGCTGGGCCATGCCTCGGGCTGTCAGGCCACAGGACACCGACTGGGGACATGTCCCCTGGGCTGCTTGGGGGCTGCAGCTTAACACTGGGGTGCCCTGAGCTGCTCTGCTTGTGAGGAGATGGACTGGGGTGTCCTGACGCTGTGTGGGACATCACCTCCCAGCACAGCAGAGCACCCCCATTGCTATGTACACCTAGGAGGCCTTGTGCAGGGCCATGTGAGGGGTCTGCAAGTCCTCGAGGGGCAGGAGGAGGAGGAGGTGGTGCAGTGTGCGCAGCAAAGTGGTCTGGGATGGGCAGGCAGGTGGCAGAGGCTGGAGCAGGGAGAGCAGTGTCTGTCAGGGGACAGAGAGGGAGAATGTGTTCGTCCTCTCTTTGGGGTGCAATGCCTGTCCCTGAGGAGCACAGAGGAAGCTGGTGGGAGGAAGCAGGCAGGGGTTTTCACCAACACAACCCTGGGACTTGGCTCCTCTGCTGCCTCTCACCCTGCCTGGGGCCCGGGGTGTGTCTCGTGGGGAGGGAGGTGACAGACAACGTGGCCCTGAGCCTTGTGGTGAGCACCCAAGTGGTGCTGGTAACTATGGAAATGACAAAATACAGACTCGGAAAAGATGATGCTTTCTTTATCAACATGCAACTAAGAAGCCCCGGGGCTGTCCCCTGCAATGTGTGGTTTAGACAGACGACAGCCACCTAGCTGTCACTGCAAAGGAGAGCAGTGCCTATGTTCTACCATCAAAACGAAGCTGAGCTCATTCTAGTGATGCTGCAGGGCACAGAGCAAGGCTGGGAAGGAGCTGGGTAGCAGCCATCCCCTGGGGCATCCTGCTGTACAGCTCCTGATGCTCTGGTGTTTGTACATTTAATTTGATGAGGAATTTGCTGCAGGCCCCTGCTGTGCAAGGAGGAGGGCTGGTTTCCACAGTGCTTCTTCCCTGAACCCAAATCCTTGCCTTCTCCCCCACTCCGTCTTCCACCTTTTAAAATGAAAAACAAAAACCTCGTGGGCCAGCCTTTGTCCCTGGAAAAACCCTGGTGCTATCTCGCTCTGCTCATGGGTTACAGTGTGCCTGCCAAATGTCACACAGAGCCGCCACCATTTTACCCTGCACATAAGATGCTGGATGAAGAGCATAGCATAAGAGAAAAAATCCTTGCCCCTGCCCCCTTTCTGGCTCTGCTGAGAGAACCCCTTGAGCTTTTTGCCTTCCTTTGCACTTCCCTGGAGCCCCAGCCTGGTGTCGATGGAGGGGCAGCAGCAGGAGGGAGTGTGCATCTGCCAAGAGGTGGGAAAGCAGTGGCTGTCACCAAGCACGTGTCACGACACCTGCCTACGGCCCTGTCTAAGGTGTCCAGCCCCCAGAGAAACCTCTCGTTGATTCACATAATTTGAGTCCCAACCTCTGTGCTTGACATCCCACAAAGAGACCAGGCACAGCCACCACTCACCTCAGTGCACATCGTGTCTGCCGTGTTGGTGGCTCTGCAGTTGGCACAGGTGAGCACGGTGACGATGAGGAGGCATGAGCTGTATCCCATGGCAGAGCAAGGCAGGCTGCCTGGTATCTTCCCTTGAAGAAAGTACGACAGAGCAGCAAGGGTCAAACGGGCTGGGTGAGCTTACTGAGAGCAGGTTGTAAGAAGAAAAAGTTATGCTTGCTAAATCTCCTCCTAAGCATGAGCACAGCGGTAGTTTCAGACTGAAAGAGGAACTTCCCCACTTTAAATATAGTCAAATGATTGTGCACTGATGCTTTTCTGGGGCAGAAACGATTTAAAAAATGGAAAGCGAGGGAAATAGGTATTGCTCATGCTTGTGTAGAACAAAACATTCCCATTAAGTGTGGTGGAGCTGTTAGCTGTATGTGAAACAGGTGGAGCAAAGAAAGAAGAGATGAGAATGCAGCATTCACCTGTGAGGAATATAATGCAATAGGAAGTCTGAGCTGCACACAAAATTTGGTGTATGTCTTGTGAAATTCATGAGAACTCATAAAGTAACTAAGACACAGGCAAAAGCCCTATGCCTATGTTGTTACAGAAAGGGTCACTGATGAAAACAGATTCACTCATTAGAAACAAAGCTGAAAAACAAAAGCTGAGTCTGGAAGTGGACACTTTCGGCTCATGTTTAGATAATGAGTAATGATCAGTTTTCTGGAGGGAGTCAGTACTTCTCACCACTCCAGGATGGGCATGTGCATGGCTCCTGCAGGTGAGGGGGTCCAGAGTCCCGGGAGCATCCAGTCCTTATCACCCCAACAGGGTAGTATGCTCACCCTGGCAGATAGACTTTTTTTTTTTTTTTTTTTTTTTTTTTTTTTTTAACTATTATTTTACTTACTTATATATTTGCAAGAAAAAAAGGCAGCCTGCAGGGTGACAAGTGTCTTCTCAAATAAGTGAGATGCAGCACTGGACTTGCATGGGGAGCATCCATGTGGTGAGCACCACCTCCCAGCAGGGCTGCTGCAATCAGCGGCTTCAGAGCTGCACTGGCACAAGAGGAGAGTGAACCCAAGCAATGGCAAAGCAGCCCTGGGCAGAACCAGTAGCAGGAGCTGATGTGTGCATTGTGTTTTGCCTGAGCTGCTGCTATGCTCATCCCTGTAAGTAACTGGGAAGAGAGGGGCCATCACCATACAGGAGCAGTGCTTAAAGTGCTTAAAAAGTACAGAGCAGACCATATTGCATCTTTGCTTAAACCACTTGTGTGCTGTTGGCATACGCCCTGCTCAAGCACAAATGCACCTTGCTCAGCCCTGCACAATGAGCTGAAAAGCTCGCTCCACGTTGCACTGGTATGTGAATGCTCCCTGTATCTTTCCCAGCCAGCTCCATGTTTGCTGGAAATCCTGCTCCCCCTGCAGCTGGTAGCAAAAAGCTCATGGAAATTGTTGTCTGGAGTGTTTGCTGCTTGTTTATTTGCACTTTTCCATGTTAATGCTCCAAGGCTAAGGATTTTTCCCGGTTGGCAGCAGCTTTGACTTGCACCCTGCCTCTTGGTACTGGGAGGCTGTCAGCCCTAGTGGCAGGAATGCTACCTCAAACCACCCATACCAGAAACCTCAGTGTTAAAATGAATCAGTTGTCTTGGAAGGAAAGTCCTTTAAATCAGGAGGGGAAAGCAGCTGAAGCTAATCCTGCCTTTTCCTGCTGTGCAAATACGTCCCTATGTGTCGTGGAATTCACATATGACATAACAGGATAGGAACGACTCCAGAGATTTAATTATTTATTTGTGAAGAAATGGGAGGGTTTATGATGCAAATAATCCCAGGGTCTGCTTCAGTTTGGGGTAATGAAGGTTTCATTGTAGAAGTGATGCTGGGTGACTGCTGTTCCCCTGTGCATTGAGGTGCACCAGCGGCCCGAGTTACAGCCTGGTGATGAGAGGTGTGCGAACTGTTTCCCCCACGTGCCCACCTGATTAATTTAGCCTTGTGCTCATAAGGGAGCAAACCAGGGGCGGCCACCTTGAGCAGGGAGTACTGCCCTTCCTGTGTGCTTTCTGCTCGTGGTGGCGGTGTTTGCTGTCCCACGGTGCTGGGTGCATCCTTCCTCTCTCACCACACGCCTGCTCAGGAGGGTTGTAAGGCTGCTAGGCGAGTCCCCTCACCAGCATTTTCCTGTTGGTAATTTTGCTTTTTATGTTCTTACTGCCCTTTGACAATGGGGGATTCAAGAGCACGCAAACCACCAGCACAGATGATTGAGGGTGAGCTCTGCGAGGGCCTGAGCAAGCTGTCCCTCTGCAGCACCCCTCCTGCAGCAAACAACCCCACAAACCCATCACAGTCCCCCTGTGATAAAAAAAAAAAGAAAAGAAAAAAAAAAAAACCCTCAGAGGGACACCCACACCCCACCACCACCCTCCTGGAGTTCTCCATTTTAAACTGATTTTGAGCTAGACAGGAGGAACAGCTCGTGAGGCTTACCGAAAGGTGTGAGTCACCCGCAGCCTGTGCCCACATCCCCCCTGCCGGGGCACAGCAGTGGCCTGTCCCCTGCTGCAAAGCCACCACCGAGGCAGGGTGAGTCCTGGCCAGCGTGGCATGGACGTGGACGTTGCGTCAGCACCGGCTGTTATCAGGGTGCTGGAGTTATCAGGATGCCAGTTCCTGGCCCCACAGTGGTGGGTCCTGTTTTTCCTTGATGTCCTGAGTCTGTCAGGAGCCTCTCCAGGGCTTGCTGCTGGGGCAAGAGGATGGATGGTCAGCTCTAGGGGAAACCCTGTATGGCATTAAATCCACTCAGCAGGCCTATAGGGTGTTAACTAGTTGTTAAACAAGAGGTGAATTGTGTCAGTCTCAGCTCTGAACGAGAAGGCATTTACCACCTAGCACAGCAGGGCTTCCGAAATCTGTCTGTGCAGGATCAAAGGATTAAAACAATTTTTAGTCATTTTCCTTCAAGGATGGATTTCGAGATTTTCTTTGTAGTTTTTCAAAGAAAGAGATACACGCATGAATGATTTATTTGAATTCTTCATGTTAAAAACCTGGGTCCATGTTTCCCTGAGGCAGTGGGATTTGGGCTGTGCCTGTTCTGCTGCTGCTGTGTGCTGTCCCAAAAGCACCAGCCCCCCCATCCTGCTGTGCCACAAGCTGGCACATTTCAGCAGGAGAGCATCTGCCCCAGGCTGGTGGTTTTTTTTAGCAGGAAAAACTGCATGGCGTTTTCCCCCGTGGGCTGCTGTGCCTTTGCTTGGACACACACTGGTGTGAGCGACACCATTGACATCTGACAAGGCGCCCCCAGAGTAAAGGGGATGTGAAGGGGACAGGGGCGTCAGGGCCGCTTCCCAGCTCAGCACCAGCCCACCTGGTGCATACTCCTGGGTCCGCAGCATTTTCCCTGCCCCAGGAATACCTCTGCTTTGCTTTGCTCTGCCATTGCTCCTTGTAGGAGGGCCAAAATGCCAGTTTCTTTCCCCTGGCATTGGTGTTGAGGTTAATGATGAAAGAACACCGCAACTTCATTGCAATTTCTGTGGTCTGAGCTGGGTGGATAGCCACCCAGGTGCTACTTCAGAAAGAAAGAGAGCCTGGCCAGGGCTGTGACTTCAGCACATGGTGGAGAAATATCCTAAATGAGTAATGTGTGAGCTCCCTTGCCCACTGTCTCCACAGACACTTTGTTCTCAAGTGGGTTTTATCTGAGGCAGCTTCCAAAAGGATTTGTGGGGAAACTGCATCCCACCCTGGGGCTGGTGTCCTTTTGGAGGGGGAATCGTTGCTATTTTATTATGCAGAGTGAACAAAATTCAGCTTTTTTTTTTTTCTTTTTCTTTCAGTTTTCTGCTTGCTAGACACTGGGACACCGGGCTTCCTGGCCCCGCGCCTGCATCCTGTGCTCTCTCCATATCAGCCAGGAAGCTGGCGCTGGCTGTGGCCGGGACATGAGACACCACGTGAAGTCCTGTGAGCAAACACAACTGGAAATGGTTGGGACAAAGCACTAGGAAGCTGATGATGGGACTTACAGGCTCATTAATGATGGATGCTGTGTGTGTCCATGTTTCCTCTGCAAAGGGGATACCTCCTAGACTCTCCCTGAAGATACCGTTCCTGGATAAGGCCTGTTGTTGTGTCACCCTCCTTGAGCGTCTTGTGACTTTTCAGAAATCTCACTGGGAAGGTGCTTTGAGGATCTGAGATCCTCTGTAGCCTCTGCTACTCTGTGAAAGAGCTCTGAGGTTTCCCTATGCCTCAGAAATAGAGCCTCTGTTCCTCACTATGCAGGCAAAATATTCACTCCCTGTGCATTGTATTGCTCATATAAAGCCAACATAAAATGCAGATTTCCATGATTAGTAACAAGCCATCCCTCCCCCCTCCGAACAATACAGACAGGCTCTGCCAAACTGGGATGCGCAAGGCTTGCGTGCCAAATTTCAGACCGACACGTGGGAAATGGGGCTGCATCTGTAGGTCCAACCCGAGCAGAGAGCCAAAAGTCCAGCACTGAAACCTCCCAAACCTCCCAAGCGTCCCTGCTCCCCGTGCATCCGCAGAGCCTGCACCGAGCCCTGCTGTGAGCTTCCCGGTGCCCGGTGAGCCGCAGCTGGATGCGGATGCTGCTGGGCCAGGGGAGGAAGCTAGGCCACAGCAAGAGGAGGGCCCACGAAAGGAGCTGGTGTGCTGGGGCTATTTAAAGAGCTTCTGGCACGGTCTCCTTCAAATGACAAAAGGGGATCGTAAAAGGAAGTCCTGTTGCTGATCGCCATGAATAGAGCTCCAGGTCAGAGAGGAAAGAAACCTCTCCCCTGCTTGCAAGACAGAAATGCTGGGGGTGGGTGGAGGGGTCCCATGCTGTATCCTGGCTGCTGTGTCCTGCTGGGACAGGGGGGCCTTTGGCACGTCCGTGTGAGCAGATGAGAGCAGCCTCACCTCCTCCTGCAGATGAAACACAGCCGGCTGTGGCTCTCACCATGGTGCGAGAAACCCAAAACTGCCACAACAAGGAGAAAAACCTTCAGGGTTGTGCCAGTACTTCAGCTGTGCTCAGCCAGGTGTCCTGGGGACATGAAATTGTATCTCCAGGTGCTTTTGACTGCCCCAATTCACCTCTCGATTTCTTTCTTTTTCTGCCCCTTTCCTATCTGCACGTTGTGCACTGGTAGTTTTGATTAACATCCATGCCCATGTTGAGTAACATACTGCTGTGGGAAGGACTGCATATGAAAAGAGTGAGTTGAAACGTATTCAGCTCCAGCTGGGAGTACGTTTTATACCGTAATGCTGGTTTGATACTTTCCTTTGTCCTCACCATAAACTGGAGACATGCCTTGGATTTTCTGTACTCCCCATCCTTGGTCTCCATCCTCACAGCGATCTCGCCTCTATGGCCAGACATGGTCCTTTCAGGTCTGGTTTGCTGATGGCAGAGCAGGCCAGCTGCTGAAATTCAGGGGTTTGTTCACAGTGTGACTGTGGCTGGATGATGCCCGTAAGCCTGCCTTGCCCTGGGTTTGCCCCCTTGGAGTACATGACACAGGCTGGGGGATGATGGCACTGCACAGAAGGACTTTTGTACACGAGTGGGAGTAACTCCGGAGGAGGAAGGTGGGGTGAACAACCTCAGGAAGGGAAATGCCAGTGCTTCAGGTGAGATTCCTGAAATTCACCCTGCAAGCTGTCCTTTCGTTTGGCTTTGCCACTTGTCTCTGTGGGTGCTCATGCAGCAGCGTGTTGCTCGCCGCAGGACCAAGCCCTGCAGGACCAAGCTGCAGTGCCCAGCAGCATGGGGCTGTGCAGACAGTGGGGGAAGGAGCTGGGGTTTGTAACACACCCCAAGGGTCTCTCGCTGCCTGAGGACCACCTGGCTGAGTACTCTGGGGAGCCACCCTTCCACTGCCTTGCTGCTCAGCGCAGTTTCACCCAACGAGATTCTGGTACTGGTGGTCAGGGGTTCGCGCTGGTGGCTTGCTTAAGGAGTCCTTGGGATTTTTTTCAGGCCTCTTCATCCTGAAAGACTTCATATTTTCCTAGGCAGTGTAAGTGGTGGCAACAGCACAAAGCCAAAAGGACGTGTCCTTGATGCTGAAATCCGCTTATCTCCCCTCTCCCCCAGGACATGGATTAAATAGACTTGCAAGATAAACTCTCTTATCAAAGGCAAAGGGTAAAAACTGGAGTCTGGATAGACAGGAGAATAAATCCAACTGCACATTAGGAAAGAGGGAGTAATTATTACTTTAAAATATAACCCACAGATTTAATGCTGTGTGCTTGCTTCATATTCGTGATTGAGAGCGTTGCTTATCTGAACTGGAAACTTTGGAAGACAGGAATGTGTTTGAGCTCTGCCAGACATTTATTCTCCCTGGCTTATAAGCACTCACGAAGGGGTGCAGACCTTCCTGAAATAAACTGCAAAACTAGAAGGGGGAACTAGAGGATGGACATGAGGTAAAAAGTGGGCTGAGTAAGGTACAGAGTGCAGCTGTAAATTAACCGGAAAAGGCAGGGGCTTTCAGAGGGGAAAAGAGTCCTCTTTAGAGATGGTCTGAAGTAGACCTCTGTGGGGCAAAGCCTGGAGCCATCACCCAGCCCCAAACTTTTCTGTGAGCCCTCAGCAGCTTCATACAGTAACTGCGAAAAAATCATAGTTACATGTCAAAAATCAGATAAAATATACTCTTTTGGCTTTGAGAGGAAATTTTCTCATTTTATTCAAACGTGCATCTTGGAGTGAAACTCTGAGAGAGAAGGGACTAATGAAACCTCCTGCGGATGGGAACCGAATCCACAATTGGCACACGCATCCGAGACGTGCGTTGCCAACATTTTTACAGCTTTCCTCCTGGCCGGTGGCTGCTTGCTCCCACTTCTGCTGCTGATTTCCACGAGATGGAGCTATTCTAACATGGGTGGGTGAAGGCTGTGGCGGCAGCCCCTGAGGAGAGCTGGTGGCGGGGGAGAACTGCACAGCGCCGTGTTCCATTGCCATGGCAATATTTCTGAAGCAGGTAGGCTTTTATAAAAAAAAAAAAAAATTATCATCGCCAAAAACAACAACAACACCAACAGCAACAACGACAAAACCACCAGAGCTCGATGTGCATTTTGCCAGGCTGCACCATCTGTAAGCTCCTTGGAAATAGGCCCCCACCAAAACTGTTCCCAGCAGGTGCAGGTGGGTGCAGGACATCTTCACCTCACACAGGGACAGGGTCACACTCCAAAAGGCCTTTGCCGTGTTATGGTGACTTTCCCGTGTGGCACTTCCACCCTCCTTAACCTGCCAGACTTTTGGTCCTGTGGTCCTGCGAAGTACATCTGCCCACCTTGTGGGCCATGCCTGCAGAGCCAAGCTCCCCGTGCCCTGCCCTGCAGGCGTGCTTCCCCTCTCCAGCCCTCGTGAAGTCTGGCAGCAGCAGCTCAGGCAGAGGCCTTCGTCTCGGGAGTCTCTACAGGAACTGTGAAGATTAGGGCTTGGTTTATACACAATATTTACAATGCATTCAAAGAGGATATCCTGAAAACACTCTGCTCGCCCTTTGCACTGCGAGCTGTTCAGGGCAGTGCTGGCATCGTGACGAGAGGCTGACACTTGTCCACAGGCTGCACGTCCCTTTGCAGGGAGCAGATAAGCCATATCTTTGTGACAAGGTGTCACTGGCAACGCCTGCCTGCTCCGAGCGCGTGGCTGTGGCCACGGCTGATGCTCGGGGCGGTGGTGGAGCTTTCCCTCCCACCCGGGGCCGGGGCACAGCCGGCTGCTCAGCGGCACGGAGGCGAGGATGCTGCAGTGCTGCAACACCATCCGGATAAATAAGGGTCAGCTAGGTCGGGCAGGGGGCTGCTGTGCTGGGTCTGGTAACGCTGCACCTGTCCAAATTCCCGTGTGAAATTGTAATTTGTCAAGGCTGGAGCATAAGCTTTTTTTTTTTTTTTTAATTTTATTTTTTCCCAGTGCACATTAACATCCCCCCTCCCTAAGCCTGTGCTTTCCATGGGAGAAAACTTTGGATGAAACATTAAAAACCTCCAAAGAGCTCCCAAGTCGAGGGGCACCCCCCTTTTCCAGGTGCCCCTAGGGCAGGGTGTAAGCTCTGTCTGCTGTGGGCACACAGATACTTAGCAAGCTCTGATGGGCTCTTGCTTTTTAAGTCCGGGACAGGGGCAGCATCCATCTGTCTTCAGTTTCTTTGACCTAAAGGCCATCCTCCATCAGCTGGGGAACACGTGAAGGCATGGGTGGGAATCGGCCAGCTCTGCAGCTAAGGAGCACTGAGCTCAAATTTGCTCGTCCCTCCTCCCTGTGGGGCCTACCACAGCGCATTAATTCTCCTTGGGCTGGTTCGTTGCCCCATCCCACTTGTCCTTTCACGGAGCCCTCAAAAACCTCTAAGCCACTTGCTCTGAACACAGTTTTAGAGGCCAGAGCACACTGCCTGCGTGTGCAACTGGCACACGTGTCCATGGGGGTCAGGCCTGTGCGGATGGCAGGCTGTGCAGGTGCACCAGCATGCCCCACGCCTGCCTCAACACCAATCTGCCTTGTGATCACCCCAGAAAATCCTCCGCTCACCAAAGCCATGGTGAGGCATGGGGCAGCTGTTGCTAAACGTTGGTGCCATGGATATTTGTTTCTTCTCTGTGAGAAGAAAGGAGCATGAAGAGAAGCTAATAAACCACAACATAAATATTGCTGTTTGAAAGGCCTAGAATAGGAATTACTTGGGTTTCCTTGAGTTTCACATGGCAGGGGTGTGGGTGATTTAGGCTAGTGATTATTCAAGACACAGGGTGTGATTGGACTTTATGATTTGGAAGGATTACACTTTCTTATGAAGTGGGTGTTTAATTTCTCTTCATTTTTAACCCATTCTTTGTAAATGCTAAAATTACAAATTATCATGCCTTTGGTCTGTGGCGTAGGACAATCTGTGCTCGTTTTCTCCCGCCTTGGCTCAGATTAACCACTTTTCTCAAGTACTACTCATGCTACAAAAAAAAAATCTGACTTTTCCTTTTCAAATAGTTCACACGAGCGTGTGCGCACACTCGGGCAGGGATGTGTGTTTCGTAACAGGTTTCTGTGCCTGTGACTCAGAGCTGAGCTATTAAGCCATAACACATGGCTGACATCTGGAACTCACTTGCAAGCTTTTCTCATTCGAATATTGGTAGCCACAGCTCTCTACTCTCCTTCTCTCCAAGACGTAGCCACGCTTTCTCTATCCACACCTCATGGAACAGAGGTAAAAGGCTTTACTGGGCCTATTGGCTTGAGCAATGTAGATAGCATGTTTTGTCTAAACCAGCTTAAACACATGTGTTCAGAGGGCTTGGCAGACACGTCTTTCTAAACAAAGGCTCTGCTTTGGATTTAAAGTGATTTCTTACCATGAGAATATTCAGAAAAATTGCATATTTTGACTCAGTAAGAGTCTGTGCTTGCTCAGAGTGCAAGCAGTCACCTGTTGACTGGTAAACTGGGGTAAGCATTGCAGACAGATTGCTCTGGTGTTTGAATCTAATTAATTACATTAATTCCTTCAGAAGAATGTCTCTTATTTGGCCAGTTTAAAAGCAGGATTAAAATGTGCTGGTGTTTGCTGTGATGTGGAACAGTTTGTTTTACCCGTGCTCCACACTGTACTGTGTGAGTGCCTTCTCTACTCCCAGGGCTGTTTGCTGTGGGCTGGTTTGCTCCTGCAGAGCTTACAATCTTGCATTCTCCTTGAGAGTATTGTGGCGATGCCAGGCAGGGTGTTGTAATGAAGGGCGTGCTGAATCTCATATTGATACCAAAAGTAATGTAAACTGCTGTCTAGATGTTGCTGCAGAGTCTCAAACTGAAAGGGTAGATTGGGAGTGGGTTGGGCTCTGATTCAGAAAAACAACTAGGTATATTTTTTAGCCCAGCTCTAACTGGGAAATCATACAAACACATTCCTAACTTTGGGGACTGCCCAGCGTCGAGAAAGCTGTGTCCACAAGTGCTGCAGGAAGAAAGGAGATGCCATTTGAAGCCTCCCCTGACCCATCTCCTGGAGAGTAAGGAAGTGTAGCGTGTCCTCAAGGCACTCTCCTCTGCCTGCTGAAGGGCCTCAAGAGGGGTGATTTTGCCACCAACATGGCAATGAAGGTGATTAAGAAGGTTTCAGAAAGGCAGGCATATGAAGGTTTGCTGCAGAGGCTTGTCAGTCTTTGGCTCTTGGAGTAAAAAGTGTCCATGGTGGTCAACACTATAATACCTCTGACTGTCCTAGAACTGAATTGAATGCAAGATTTTTAATGTGGTTCCATGTAAGGTCTAAGGTTGAGCAGCAAGAGCTTCACACACAGTGAGTGTATGGCCTATGGCATGGCTCTGACACACATTGCTACCTCAGGTGCTCACTTAACTGTGTGCCTGACCTGCCAGCTTCTCAGATGCCTTTTTTTTTTTTTTTTTTTTTTTGTAAAGTCTTTCGGAAGAAGTTATTTTTGGCCACGTTGTGTTCAGGTGTAGTGGTTTGCAGTAGCTGGGTGAAAACTCATCTCAGTGCTTCAGGAAATGCTACATGCGCTGAGGTCTCTGACAGCTACTTCTGTTTAATGATTGCACTGTGCCAAGAGGGTCTGCTTGCAGCAGACTGTGGTGCTTCCCAGCACGATAGCTGGAAGAACATCCTGCCTGGGGCCCTTCATCCTCATGGATTTACATCACCACTGGCTGGACAAGGTGGATCTGTATTGCTCCACTCACCTGTCAGGATGAAAATGGAGACCTTCAAATTCGTACGGATTGATTTCGTCATCGGAGAGCCCTAGTGCTGGAGGTGGCCTTGAGCTGTATGCTTGTTTTTAGCTGTTGGCAGCACTGCTAATTGATTGTGTGGCTACACAAAAGTGATGTGCTATATACAGCAATTAAAACTATGCTGTCAGACTGTCAAAATCAATCTCACTTTAGGATATGGCCAGACACAATACTTTTTTTGTTGTTGTTGTTCTCATTATGAGGATTAGAGCTTATTGTGATGTTTATTTGGTACTCCAGGCTGTGAAACTCCTTTTCCAGTCACTTTGTAGCTTTTTGATAAAGCATCAGCTTTTGAGCTCAGCATTTCCACACTAGATCTCTAGGTCAAGCTGATTCTACTGGAAAACTCCAGCCGAAATGGCTTGCCCAGTGTTGAGCATAACCTCTGTACAGCACAGATGTTGGCTTACCCTGGCAAAAGTCAGCCATGAGAAAGTCAGCTGCACCGAGCCTTTTTATTGGGATGAGTCTCCTTTTGCTTTGAGGATGTTTCTCCAAGTTTTGCCAGACTGTGTGCTTTTTAAAATGTGATCTACTCACGGTGAGTAGGAGCTCATGAGAGCTCAGTGGCTAAAGCCTGGCATCTTCCTGAGTACCTCACAACACTGATTGTGGGTTCACACCATCTCCTGGGGCTGCCTGCAATCATTGCATCCCTTGGGGTGGCCCAGCAGAGCCAAGTGCCCTGGGGCTTGCACCAGCCCACCCCAGGGCACCTACCACTGACCAAAGTCTGTGCCTCACACCATGCTCCCACTTGGAGACAGGCAATTTGTGCTGGATTTTCCCAGAGGCAGCTCCTCCAACCTGGGGTCGGTTGGGAGCAGTGGTCTTTGAGTCTGGACCCCACCGAGGCTCACGATTTTGGCTCCCTCTTTGTGAGGTGGAGCCTCTCACCTCCCACAGCTCCTTGCCCCTTGCCTGTCTTCCCGGGTGGCTGTGAAAATTAACATGCTGTTTCTGAGGCTCTCGCGTACTGTGGTGGCATGGGAGAAAAACAGGCAGAAATTAATTAGTCTGTCTTCAGAGCAGGGTTCTGAGGATTATAGAAAATAAGCCTGTTAAACATTAAGGAGAAAACAGAATGCTCTGTACTGGGTCCTCACTCACCCTGGGTACTTAATGACATGTTTTCACTGGAAAAAAAGTGGTATGATGGTGTTAATTAAAGGCTATGCCAGAATGCATATGTACAAGGGGGGTAATTGAAGGATGCTGAATGTCTGCCAATTTGACATTACCTAACTAGCTTGATTTTCAACTGTAGCAATATTATTGTATTTATTTATTTTTGGGATACCATATGAAAGAAAAATATTTTAGCAAAACAGCATACTGAGCAGAGTAAATTACACCGGTAGGGTTTCTTGTTACTTTGTGCCTGATGGAGACAATGAAAAATAATAGCAAACAGAGCAGAGAAGCAATGGTGTGCACATCATACATAAAAAGGTACTGTAACAGCAGTGATCTGTCTGCCATAGTAATGAAGTCAAGTGCTTGGAATAATATGATTTCACAGCAAGAAATGATAGCAGAGATCTGCTGAGCTGAATCTCTGTATTACGTGGCTTTGACTTATCCACATGAAACTACAGAAAAGGTTAAATCTTAATTTTATTAAATGGAGAGTCACAGCAAACAGGCTCACCTTATGGCTTTTCTAAATTCTTAGATTTCTTTGTCTCCAGCTTGTTATTTATCTGAAGCTGTTTCTCGCAGCTCTATGGACTCCCTGCAGTGCTGGGTTCACAGACTCACGGTGCTAGCCCTCATCCCCAGGCTCCTGCCCTCACTCTTGTGCTGTGTTGTCAACTGCTGTTTGCAACGGCTCCCTTTCTTCTGTCCAGCTAATTGGTATATACCTCTAGTTAAAAAAAAAAAAAAAAAAAAAAAAAAGGTTCTGCCCCCCTCTCCCTCTTTTACAACTGCAAAACCTTGGCAGAGGAGTATGTTGCTTGCCCAGCAAAATGAGTTTGGATTCATATCACTGCATCTCCAAGCATCTTAGGCAATCAGCTCCTAATCTGCTCTGCTCTGTGACTTTGCTCCCCTCTTTCCTTGGGCTGGCGGTGGAGGCACCATAGATGTCCCATTTCTCCCCTCTTCTCTTGAATTGCCTGTGCTATTTTCAGACTTTCTGTTCTGAATTAGGTCAAAAGATTTGTCCTTTTACAGGCAGCTTCCACTCAAAATTACTTATGCTCGGACAGAAAGAGAAAAATCTGATTAAATATCGGAAAACCAAACTACACCGCACACAACATAATTAACCCTGAGCTTGATGGAAGGTCAGCTGATTCTTGAGATGATTTGTAACCATTAAATTGGGCAAGGGCAGACATGCATCATTACTTGATCTTATCTTCATTGCCCTGGTTGCCTTTGATCTCCATTTGTCCTTTCCCATTTGTTTATGCTCTTTCATGCCTTGCTTCAAAGTAGACTGTAAAGCCTTTGGGGCAAAGACCAGTGGTGCGGTGGTGAATGGGAAGGACAGAGAGACTCCCTCATCTGCTGGCCCAGTCTTGACTGTGGGAAATGAGTAAATGCTGAACTGCCAACAGTAAGAATGGGTTAATTCACCCTTGGAGTGAGGAAGTTAAGCCATGGCCACAGCGTGGGCAGACACCAAACATCTTATCTGGACCTCTTAATGGCCAGTGCAGCATCCAGGAGCCAGCTTGGCCTTCACTGTGATGAGTTACTGACCAGGGGACATGAAAGAATCTGCTATTATAACAAAAAATATAAGTAAATAAAAAATCATAGAAATGTTGAATATTCTTAGCTTCAGCTTTTGTGTTGTTTTTACTCCAACAGGAAGTTTGCAAATATTCCCGTTATTCTCTGTGGAGACATTGATCTTCAAGACACTCTTGAATACATAGTTATTGTCAGATGCTACATAGAAAAAAAGAATAGGATGAGGAAAAGCCAGAGATAAGACAGCCCATGGGGAAATATCAGAAGATTACCCTAGAAATGTACATCGATCTTTTTAATGCTTTTAATTGTGCTTAATGCTTGAGGGAATATACTGCACAAAGAAGCAGTCGTAATGTTAAATTAGGAAAAAACAGTTGCAAGAGAGCTAGGCCTTAAACACCTTGTACATCGCATAAGCCAAAACTGTATGCCGTTAGCTTCAGCAGTACAAGGGGTGCTGAGCCTGTGACTGGCTCAAGAGTTATGTCCATGGCAAGAAAGCTGGGCACCACCTAGATAAAATCCACAGAAGAGCAATAGGAGTCCTCAAGGATGCAGCAAATAACCACTGAGAGTGAAAGACACTGAGAACTGTTCAGTCCAAAGAATGGGGCAGCAAGGAGGGAAGAGACAAATGTGGTAGAGCAGCACTGCTGCAGAGTAAGGTAAAAGGCTGTTTACAAATGGGAGTGAAGAAGTCTGGTTTGAAACTGGGAAGCACTTTCTGAAAGTAATGACGGT